CATTTGTGACAACATGGATGGACATTGAGGGTATAATGCAAAGTGAAATAAGTCAGAGGGAGAAGGTCAGATACCGTATGATTTCCTTCATTAAGTAGTAGATAATAACAACAATAAACAAACACATAGGGACAGAGATTGGATTCGTGGTTGCTGGGGGGAGGAGAGGAGGGAGGGGGGTGAAGGGAATGGTTCGGTACAAGTTTGTGGTGATGGGTTGTAGTTGGTGTTTTGGTGACGAATATGACGTAATCTGTGCAGAAGTGGAGGTGTAGTGATGTATACCTGAAATTTTTACAATGTTGTAAACCAATGTTACTGCAATAAACAAAAAATTTAAAAAAAAAAGAGATAAATTAACTGATGTAAATAAAAATTTATTCATTTCAACATTGTCAATAATAATGAAAATTGGAATCAACCTAATTGAGAAAGAACAGAAATAAATTAACATAATTAAAATCCATATTTGTGACAGAATATGACACCAGGCATCTAAATTCATGTTCTATATGATTATATTTAAAGATGAAGAAAATGTAATAATACATTTCTAGGTGAAAAAAGTGGAAAACAATATATACTACAAAAATTTGATTGAATATGACAATAAGAACATGTATATATGTTCGTATGTGCATATATTTATTTTAAAAACTGGAATGATATAATTGAATATATGTTTAACAATTATCTCTGGGTTTTGCTCTTATTTCTTTTTTTATATTTCTATTTTTTGAATTTTCTAAAGTTAATATATATTTCTTTGAAAAAGAACAATTGTTCTGGGCCCGGCCCCAGGGCTGAGTGGTTAAGGTCCCGCAAACTCTGCTTCAGCAGCCCGGGTTTGCTGGTTCAGATCCCAGGCATAGACATACTCCACTCACCTACCATGCTGTGGAAGTGTCCCACATATAAAAAAATAGAGGAGGATTGGCACAGATGTTAGCTCAGTGCTAATATTCCTTGAGTGAAAAAAAAAAAAAAAAGAAAAGGATTGGCAAAAGATGTTAGCTCATGGCGAATCTTCCCCAGCAAAAAAACAAAACAAAACAAAACAAAACAAAACAAACACAATTATTTCTTACAGATAGGAAGAAAGAAGAAGGATGTTCAGATAACAGAAGTAAACTCAGCTATGATGACATATCTCCCCTGTGACAAAGCTGCAAAAGTCTGGATTGCTGCAGGGACAAGGCTGGACCCATTGCAAATGTCACCCACGGACCTTGTCTGTCATTGCAACCTCCTTCTCTTCCTCAACTGTTTCCACATTTTGCTTTCTGGCTGAAGGCACACGTTGTTGTGGAACATGCTCTGCTTTTTCTGCTGTGCTCTTTCCTACTGTAGTATGTTTCCTCATGCTGTTGCCTCTGTGGATTGCCTGCCAAGAGCTGCCCTGTCCAGTGATCTGTTCCCACGCCCCAAGTCTTCTAGGCAGCTCAGTGCTACCTTCCCCCAATGCCTCCTGCTGAGGGTTGACTTTGACTCAACCCGAATGTGGGGCCTCCCAGGGCCTGCTCAGCCCACCACACAACGCCTCATTGCCTTCTCTCTCCTGTGCAGCTACCCTCTTCCCTGCAGAGGCCCTCACACACGCTCATTAAAGGAGAGGCACCAACCACAAAGGAGCGTGCTACATCTCTCTTCCTTTTCTCTTCTTTCTGAGGTGGGTCAACCAGGGCATAGGAGGTGGGAGAGTGGGCACCTGGCATTGTGCTTTAGTGCAGCTGGATCTTCATTGTTGCTTCTCCATTCCTGAAAGATTCCAAGGAAGACGTCAGAAAGAGAAGGGGGTGTGCTTAGCAAAAACAGGGTGTCCTAGATTGTCTCAGGAGCAGGCAGAGTAGGCAGCTCTGGACATTGCGCCAAGAACCTCCAATCACCCTGAGGAGTGGGATACTCTGGTGACATTTCCATGTCTCGGATAACACATGTCACACCACAGCATATCGGCAAAGACTTGATGTAAATTACCTATTGACATATGCTATCGAGCAGAGATAAAGGCCTAGAGGACATAGGGAGGACCAGGTCACTTTTGCAGGATTAGGAAGATAGGGAGAGTTCAATGGAAGCAGCCTAAACCATTCTCGAGGGTCAGAAAGGCTGCTACAAGGGAAGGCAATCGCATGGGAGGATTTGTTCATTGACCTCCCTTTCTGTGTGGACGCAAATAGCTTTGGGGCCCCCAAGAGATGGCACGAAATGGTTTTTCTCCCTATGCACTCTCTCAGAATGCTCCAAGAGAGTCTCACATTCCAAGTCAGAAGATTCTCAGCACAGCCAAGTATGCCTGGAATATTAGAAATTTTTGCCTTAATCTCAAGAAGTAGCCTCTGCTTCAAGAGCAAGTACAGATCTGCTTCCTCTGTTGAGAAGCTCCTGTTGTTTAGAAGCCTCTAGCGGTCTCATCATTTTCTTTTTATTCTCTCAAAGAAAAAATGTGGGTGAATCTTCAAGTAAGGAGTTGCCTTTTCAAGACACCTAAAATGCCTTCATACTAAAATAATACAGTTATGCCCATAGAGTAACCTCTGATCACTTCTGTCTTCGAGTAGTCACAGATCTCTCCCTGAGGTCTATACTGCTGTTTGCGACTAAACACACTTGAACTTCTCCTGAGCATTTGTTCTTGGGGAAGGATGGAACAGGTGGTAGACAGAGGTTACAATGGGCAGACTGGGGATGGATATTCACTTCAAAGATGGCCTTAATATCCTGATTATCTCTGCTTTGGTGATTGTGCTAGAGGTCAGCGTCCCGAGGCTATATCTCAGAACCTCATTCTAAGGACACAGCAGGAGGAAAAATGGCCAAATCTTTCCCAGTACTTCTGTTCTTCATGCTGATACATTTGGTGTTACCTTCTGGTGAGTAATTTGGCTGGTTCTGGCAGGTGTGTAAGGTTGATTTGTGGGCTCTGACATTGTAATCCGAAAGAGAATGCTTTGAAATTCTTATTTATTTATTTAAACGTGTCATTTTACTATATCTATATATCTGTATCTACATAGAGAGAGACATTAGAATGTGGTCCAAAAAAAGACTATGGGCCAATGGGTAGGTGCCTTAGTTTTCTTATCTATTAATGCAGATTATGAGATCTAACACATGGGGACCAGGGGACTTGGGTGATTCAGGGAGGTAACATGTGAAAGGGGCTAGCAATACACCTACACCATAGTACATCTCAAAAATTCCGAGCTTTCGAAAATGCTTTGCCATGTATTTGAGTGAGTCATTATCTTTTGTGTCCTCTTTTAGAGAAGAGTCGTGTAGGGAGTTACAAGGAGACCTAGCCTCAAGGACTGGAGAGCTTGGTTTTCCACAAATCTACCGTGAATTCCTGGGCATTTCATAAGCAAGTAGCTTTCTCTCATTTCTGAAATATGGGGATTGTGCTAAAAGATCTCTTTATAATTCTAGCATTTCTTAATTTCTTTTGTATATTGGCTGCCAGTTCTGAATCCTCTCAAGTCCAGGCTCATTACTGTTAATCAAAAAATCATTTAGTACACTGGACAGGCAACATTTATGAGAGCAATGATTCATCTATATAGTCCTCTGCTGATAATTCATCAGGAGTAGAAGAGTTATTCTGCTTTTTGAAAAAAAAAAATGAATGAATACACGTATAAATGAAACAATGTTTTCAATTATTGCAAGCTTTCTTGGTAATAGATTAGAAATCTTTTATTTTGCCAATAAATTAAACTATGATTTACCAGATATTAGACTCTGTAACTAATTTCGTTTATGCCTTGGTTTCAGGCCCTCGACAATGGTGGCCACCACATGGACCTGTTAAGGTAATCTTCCACTAGATTTCCCAGGACTGAGATTCTAATCTGAATTTTCTTTGGAATTGCTATTTTAGAACCTTACTGCAGCAAGGTCATCTGTGACATTCTTCAAGGTCCACTCACATGAGTGGGGCAGGCACACTGCAGGTATAGGAGGAGCTCAGAGTACAGTGATCCACTAAGCTGAGATTTGGTTAAATGTACACCAGAGTACCCTCCATAATGCCTGGGAAATGTTTATGAGTGCCGACAATTGCCAGGGGCAGGGCAGGTTCTTAAGAGCCCAAAGATGTGGGCATAACACAGTTTTTGCTCCCCAGGAGCTCACAGTTTGGGGGAGGGAATGCTCCTAAGTGCCCTGAGATGTGCAGAAAATGCCTATATGAGTTGTGAACAGGGGAAGCTACCTCTGAGATGTGGACTGACGAAAATGTGAAGGAATAGGAAATCTCTGCACAGAGCCTCAAATTATGTGTGCAACTTATATGAGGTTCAAACGAAGGAGACACCTTCATTTTAACCTACCCCTCTGGCTGCTGAATACATTGTGAGGTCAATAAATGTGTGATAAGTGAGGGAAAAGGTGAATGAGAGATTATTATTTTTGATGCAGATTTGCATCACTGTACTTCACTTCAGGAGTGTTTGTACTTTAAGTTTTTGTCTCAGTAAATTTTAAATTTTACTTCTTAAAAAATAGTCAGTCATGAGTTGACTTGTAAGAAAGGCATTTTGGGGGCAGCTTGACCTTGAAGGGACCTATAGGTCAGAGTGTAGAACCCATGAGGAGCTATAGCAAAAGAATGTGTAGAATTTGTCCAGGATTTATACTCTGGTCTCACGGAGTTCAGTCCTAGAATTTTCCTCTTCAGAAGGTTGTCTGCAGGATTAGTCCTTCCCTTGCCCATCAATCCATAAATAAAAATAAACTTACTTATTTTTACTTATTTTCTTTAAAAAATATTTATCACCTGTGCTGTGCCCTAGGATGCAATATTGAGGAAAACAGACATATTCCCTTCTCTCATGAGGCTTACACACAGCCAGAAAAAAAGGAAGGGAACAACTATTTCTTGTGGCAAATTCTACAGATAAAAGAAGTAGGTACAATATCTATTGGGAGTAGAGATACTACTATAAAGAATGTGATCAGTGAAAACCGTTTTGGCCTGAAGGGTAAGCAGGAGCCACCCAGGTGGAGAGCAGTGAGGAAGACTTCGTCTACTTGAGCCACTGATGGAAGTCCTCTGTGACTGGAGCACAGAAGCAAAGAGGTCTACAGCAGATGCTGCAGTGATAGCAGTAGATAGGGACCCTCACTTGACGAACACATATCCTACTCGAAAGAGAAAAAAAAGGAGCTGTGTTTATAGACAATGATACTAACTACTCTTGCTTTTATTTGATTGTCTATATTCATTCAGATTGAACTATTTTATATCTTATTCATTTTCAAATACTTATAGAGCAATGACTAAGTGCCAATATAAGTGCTGGGCGCAAAATGGTTGGTCGATTCAGACACAGACCTTCTTCTTATGGGCTTATAATCCTTTGGGGGTGTGGAATTAATCAAATAATTACCCAAATGCTTTATTACACACTGATTAGAGGTATAAAAAGAAAGAATGGGAAGTTGGGATTGTATTTTGAGAAATCTGTGACAGTGAGTTATAACCTGAGCTCTGAAGGTAGAATGAATTTAGATTCAGAAAAATATATATATATTTGATGGGGTAGTTATGACAAACCAGAAAACCATGAGATGGAGGAAGTATGAAATATTTGAGGAAAAAAAAACTAAACTAAAAAGGCAAAGAACAAGGTGATATAAAGCAAGGTTGGAAGAGTTGGGTGTCTCTAGACCACTTAGGGCCTTTTAGCCCATATTAAGACAGATTTTTTTAAGTGAAATGAAATGCAATTAAAGGAGCTTAATTGCAGGAATAAAATGATTCAATTGATGTTTAAACTATGGAAACTAGAGGACATGAGGAGTAAAGGAAGTGGGGGGATTAGTTGGGTGACAGACATACAGCAGGCAGATGATGGTGGCCTGGCCACAGTGGTGGTGACGAATAAGGAAAAAAGGCAGAAGAGTTTCGAATCTCAAGCATGATTCTTCTTTCTCTAAATACTCAGCCAAAACTCCTTTCCACTTCGTGTTGGAGTTACTTCACCTATCTATCTTACGGCACTATAGAGCCTCTGAGACCACCATCCTCAAGCTCTGTCATCCCAGAGCACTTCTTCAAGCCATTGCTGACACCAGCACCGCAAGCAGACGTGGGTTCTAGTCCCTGATGAGACATGTCCCTTCCTTTGTTTGCAGTTTTCCCTACAAACTCAGGGAGTTATTCTAAATGATCTCACATTTCACGACTTCAGGATAGGAGTTGGCTTGGGAATTTGAGAGTGGATAAAATGTGCTAAATATTTTAAATCAAGGCATATGGATTCCAGTGAAGCATCTTTTCCATCTGGAAGTTATGGGGCTTCCATTTCCTTAGCTGAGTTGGCATAGGAAATCTCTAAGAATATTCCCAGGTCTGTCAGTCTGGGAATAAAGGAGATTGAGAGAGAAGCTAAATTTCCCCAATACATTCTGTTTATCCACTCTCACTTTTCCCACTATTGCATAGCAGGCCTCTGTTCTCTATCACTGTCAGGAGGTCCTGACAATCAGGGCACTACGTTGGTACTAGATGGGATATACATAGGTTCTAGTTCCCTTGCTTTGTGGCAGGGAGAGCTGTGAGAGCTTTTAGGAGACTGGGATATGATCCTGCCTATGTTTAGATTTTCCTAATAAAGTCCAAAGATGACCTACATGTCTATAAGCATGATTCTAATCATATAATTCTTTTCAACTCAATTTCAGGTGAAATGTCCATTTAGGAAAGTAGACTTGAGTTGGTTCAGAGGAACAGTGAACCCCTGCCCTGGTTTACATCAACCCATCTGTGGCACTAATTTCGTAACCTATGAAAACCCCTGCATCTTGTGTGTTGAGAGCTTGTGAGTACAATTTAGGAAAAAGAAGAGAAGAACGACAAGCTTAGTCCACAGCAATTACTATCTACCTCTTCTATCAAGTACATCAGCCCTAAAGCCAGGAATTTGCTCCAGTTTGCACAGATAATAATCAGTCCCCACTCAGAAGAGCGTGTGGTAATACAAAGCCCACTGGAGCAGAAAGCTGACTCATTGTACTCTGTGGTGTTCATCAGGTCCTTTCTTCTCTCTGATTCTTCATATTCCCCTATGCCAATTGATGGATTTTCGCTTGAAGCTTCAAATATCCTTTCAAGTCCTGAAATTCTTTGATTTTAAGACAAATTGTGGTTTTGCCTTCTCTCAGATATCTTCAACCTCTTGTGTATCTGAAACTCTGAGCTAGGATGGGCTGACAGCAAAGTTTGGGTCTTTAGCTAAGAGTCAGTGTTCAGTTTTTTGGATTTATGTGACATGATTGTCACTGATTAGACACTGGGGTCTCACAAAACCATGGCTTTGGGTTTGATCTCTGGATAAGCCAGTGCAGTTCGCAGGGAGAAAAACTCTCCCCATGGCATCAGACTGGAGTCCTCAGCCCAACAATAATTTTGTAATTTTGTACAAGAGGCAATGACAGGAATGTGTAGACCCCAGGTCATCCCAACTAATGAGTAATTCAGCCAAAGTGTGAGAGTATTGATAGAAGATGATGAGGATTGATATGACTTTTATATCACAAGCTCAGGCCTGATTAAATAGCTTATTTTCAAAGAGATTGTAGCACAGGTCATAATATCTTCAGTAACATCTTAGAATCGTGGAAGAATAACTGGGTAGGAAATCCAATAACCTGACTGTCGTCTTTTGTCAGTTCCCTTTATGCTCTGGCTCTTAGTTTCCTAAAATGTAAAATAAGGATGATAGATAAGCTAATTTTTTGTGTGTGTGTGAGGAAGATTGTCCCTGAGCTAACATCTATTGCCAATCTTCCTCTTTTTGCTTGAGGAAGATTGTCCCTGAGCTAACATCTGTGCCAATCTTCCTCTATTTTGTGCTTGGGACACTGCCACAGCACGGCTTGGTGAGCAGTGTGTAGGTCCACGCCTGGGATCCGAACCTGCGAACCCCGGGCCACCAAAGCAGAGCAGGTGAATTTAACTACTACCCCACCAGGCCAGCCCCCAGATAAGCTAATTTTTAAAGTATTTTTGTAGTTCTGACGTTCTATTAATGAAATGTTTATTCTGATTCTTCCTTTAGGAAATCTCGGGGAAAAATTAGATATGAACATGATGGAAAATGCTAGCCAAGTGGACTTAGATGTGAAAGAAGCCATCTTCTCTTTCTCCCCATCATGACAATCCTCCTCTTGCAACTCACCCCTCCTTGCGTGTGTTCTTAGTGACAGAGAGTTGCCCCTACTGAGCTCGTATCAGACGGCTAAAGGTTTCTTCTTTAGACCTCTTCCCTCACTGATTCACTGCCTTCCGTATTCTCCCTAATAAATAAACTTTTCTGAAAGTTTGATTTACCTTGGGTTTCACATCTGTGTCTCAAGTCTCAGAAGTAGAACAAATCAAAAATTTGAGCCAAGGATCAAAGACAAACATTGTGATTAATCAGTTCTCTGATACTCTGAACAGTGGAGTCATCTATGTAGAGGCTCCAGGTGTCTTCTAAGGAACATGACAGAATTTTTTCTATACTCCTTTGGCATTTTTTAAAACCAATTAATAGGAACTATGGAACACTGTGCTCTTCCCATCCATTCCTATTGCTGCCCACCTTCTGCAAACTCCTTATTAAGCAACCTTACTTTCAGACTCAGCCTTGAAGAGATGACATTTATGCATATCTGGCTTAGATCAACATGGCCCAACATTTTCAATGGCCCCACTTTTCTCCATAGAAGGAGGCTTACATCAATGGTATCTATGAGTGTCCCATTGGTCACTGGTCTTTTTTCTTAAATTCTCTTGACACGTTTTAACATCTGAAATATATAGGGACATGTTCTTCTTTGGGTTATATTTCTTCTGTGTGTATATATATATTTATATATATATTCCTAATATTATATATATTCCTAATATAGAGAGAAGACTAATATATACTAACATGCTCTCTTCCCCTCCCAGAAGCTTTCTTCCTGCTGGCTTGGGAGAGAGCATCCTTCCTGCCTCTGAATATCCTGTAAGACTGTGGTTAGACTGTTTATATGTTCTGTTAGCTCTTTGACCTTAACTACCATGCTGACCACATGGTGGACACATGGCTCCAGTAAAAAGCAAACAGTCACATTTGGTCTATCATCTTTAGAATGTGAAAAGCAAATAGCTCTGGGGAAAATGAAATATTCTCTATCTTCATAGCATGTCAATTTCCATTGCTCCAAGTCCTGGGCCATGCAAGAACATGCAGAACTCCAGGGAGGATTATTTTCCAATACCATTGCTTTGACTTCATGTTCATACTATTTTCTTCTGCAATACTTAATCTGCCATTAATGTCATTCTGTAGATCTTTCATATCAAACGTTGTAATTTTCATCCCTACAGTTTTGGTTTATAACTTCCATTTTTCTAACTTTTTAACATCTGGAAAACAGTTAAACTGATAACTATTTTTATAACTTTATCTGCTAATTCTGGTATCTGTGTCAGTTCTGGGTGGTTTGGGTTGGTTGATTTTCTTCTCATTACGGATTATATCTTAGGATACCAGATATTAAGAAATTTGTCTTGTTTGGTTCTGAATATTTTTGTATTTCTAGAAATATTCTTGAGCTTTGTTATGAGACAGAGCTCAATTACTTGGAAACAATCTGATTTTCTGGAATATCACTTTTAGGAGTTCTTAGGTGGGACCAATGCAATATTCACTAAGTGGGCTAATTACTCCTCATTACTGAGGCAAGACCCTTTTGAGTACTCTACTCAATACTCTGTGAATTAGGCGGTTTTCTAGTCTGGCTAATAGGAGTAGGCACTATTACCAGACTTATATGAGATGGGCTCTGTTTTCTCTAATCTTTTTTGGTGGTTCTTTCTTGGCTCTTGGTAGTTGGCTTGCACACAAGTACCAGTCAGTAATTTGCTGAGATTTCTGTCCAGCTCTCCCATGCTGTTGTCCTGCAAATTCTAGCCACTTTGGTCTATCTCCTCAATCCAGGGAATCCACTTGCTCCATCTGGGTTCCTCTTTCCTATTCCTAGAATCTCTCACAATGCAGAGGCCAAGGTCAATCATAGAGCTCATCTATTCAGTTCTCATCTCTCAGGAATCAGTATCCTTCATTGCCTGATATCTAGCGTCATTGTTTCATATATTTCGTCTGACTTTTTGTTATTGTTTCAGGTAGGAGGGTATATCTGGTCTCTCTTAACTCTATGTTATCTGTAAGTAGAAGTCAGCTTATCTTTATCGTGTCATCGTATATTTATTTTCCTCTGATACCTTCTAAAGTCTAGACTAGAGTGCTATGTCATTAATCTACTTTTTCTAAGGATTCCAAAGGATGACTTGTGCTCTGTAGTAATACAAATATTTTCAGTTGATTATGAAGCATTTACTTAAATTTGCTATACACAATAGTAAAAAGGACTTGCACAATAATTTTTTCTGTCATTTGATAGACATTTCCTAACAAGGAAAAGGAGGTCAGCATATTTCCTCTGATACCTTCTAAAGTCTAGACTAGAGTGCTATGTCATTAATCTACTTTTTCTAAGGATTCCAAAGGATGACTTGTGCAAGTCTAAATGCAAGACTTCCCTCCTTTCAACGCAACCATTAGAAGCTGATCACTTCCACACATATCCCACCGCTGCCAACATAAAATGAGCTTCCCCCTTAGCGGTCCTAGTTCTGATAGCCTCTGCCTGTGTTCTTCCTCTCTCTCTCTCTTTCTCTCTTCCCCTCTCTGGCAGAAGTTTTGAATTTTGAAATCCCTCCGTCTGGTTCCCCTTATTTTTTTATCCCCTAATTATTGATCAGTCCCAGGTTTTTGTCATTGCTATCTTCTCTTTCCCCCTCCTACTTCCTCTGCTTGACGATCCCACTCACATCTGTAATTACTCTATTGCCTATATACTTGTAACTCACATATCCATACCACTGTACCCATCTTATAGTATCAGATACCAGCCACCTTAATTCCATTGACTTACAGAATCTTTAAAATCAATCTATCCAATATAAGTTCTATTTTTTTCTTTCTAAAGGTGCTCCCTCGCATGTTTTGATTTAATGGAAGTCAACGTCGCTACTCTCTGAGTTCTTTCTCACTCAAACTCAGTTTCAATATACACATTTTCTATATATTCTTTATTTCATCTTAAGTATAAATTAAACCCGTGAACATGTATTTAATCCAAGTCTTCATCATATTTTAATAGGTTATTTTGATGCTCTCTTTAACTGTTTCCTCAGCCTCCATTTTATCCTCCCAACCATAATCCTGTCTCCATTATATTATCATTTACATATGAGTTGTTTAAGAGATCACTATTCTTTTTGAGTTATAATACCAACAAATATCTTAGTATGACTTACAAGACACTTTATTTCGTCTGCTACAGGCGCTCTCTAAAGCCCAACCTCAACCATAATGAACTCTTGTAGGACTTGTAACAAACTCTGTTTGCCCATAAGGTGGCAGTAAAGCACTGCTGTTTAAACCAGTAACTGACTAATGGCCAACTTGTCACACACCAACCATGTGATTTGGTGCAAGTTGCTAAGGCTCTACGAGCTGCAGATTTCTCATCACTTAAAACGAGAATAATAACAGCACATACCTGATTCTGAGGGGAAGTGAAGCTTCAAAAAAGTTTAAATATGGATGTACAGGTGAGCAACAAACAGTGGCAAAATCTTAGGTAGAAGCAAGAGGGCCCTCCTAGTTGCCTAACTAGGAATCTCATTTCTGAACCCAATTAAGGGGGAGAGCTTGAGATGGAGAGAGATGTCAGCAATTTCTGATGTTGTTTTTCTATTTTTCTTCTTCCCAGGAAGGTGAAATCTGCTAACACACTCCACGCTTAGCTCTTATTCAGGTCTCACGTGGGTGAGAGAGTTAGGAAATGTTCCTATCAAATAATGGACTAAACATTACTCTTCTAACTCTATGGAGTTCTTTTTTTTTCCTTCTGATTAGATCCTTTTTACCCAAAGAAAGTTAACTCAGAGACAGACTTGAATAAACTCTTAACCATATATTTTCCAAACAAAAATTAGAAATGACTTGGAGTATGGGCCTGTGTAGGCAGCCAAAGAGGTTACTTACTGCTTTTTGAAATAACAGGTGAACAACAAGACAACCTACACTGTGGTTAATTTTCCTTAATTTAAATTTTAAGTTTGTATTTTAATATTATTTTGCTTTGAAATAGTAATATATACTCTTTATAAATTTTAATTAAATTTATATTAAAAATAATTTAAACAAAACATTACAACCAAGACTTACTGTCATTAATTTTAGATGAAAATCTTTCCCGAACTCTTTCTATCGCTCTTAACAACTAAGTATATAGATTAAGACAGTAATACAAATGATATCATAAAAACAGGATCATGCTATACATGCTACTTTTGAAATGAGAATCTACTGAATACAAGGTCAACATGAAAAAAGAAAAAATTATATTCTAAATGTGTACAATAAATAAATAGAAAATGAAACTTATTTAAAAGATATTATTTCCCAGAATATCAAAAATAACAAATGTATAAGGAAAAACAATTCTAAAAAAAGGTTATGTATAATCTTGACCCTGAATAATTACAAAATATTAATCAAAGATTTTATTTGAAAGTACATATCCATTCATCAATTTAAAAAATCAATATTGTAAAGAGGTATAGTCACTCCAAATTGTTTTATAGTTTCAATATAATCTTACTCAAATAGGTAGCTGGGTTTTTGTGAGAGAATAACAATTTGATTTTCAAATTTGTATGAAAATCAATAGTAATAAAGAATAGACAAGATAATCTTGAAAAAGAACAAAGCTGGAGGACTTACGCTACCAGGTAACAGGACATATTCTCAAGCAATAATAATAAAGAAAATATATTGGTACAAAGATAGACAAATAGATGAGTGGAATGGAATTTAGAGCCCAGAAACAGACCCACACATATGTGGTCATTTGATTTATGACAAAAAGACACTGTAGTAAAATTATGAAAGGATGTTCTCTTTATTAAATTATGCTGAGTCTATTGGATAGACACATGAGAGAAAACGAATCTCAGCTCAACTTTAATTTAAATTGATACTCAAAAAAACCAATTCAAGAAATCTTTTGGAAGGAAATATATTTTCATGAGCTTAGAGTATGCAAATATTGGTTAGACTGGCAAAAGAAACCCACTAAGCATTAGTAAAAATATGGTAAACTGTGCAATATTAAAATTAAGAACTTCAGTTCATCAAAATACACCAATAGTAGAATAAAAGGTAAACTACCAACTAAGAGAAAATGTTTCCAATACGTATTATCCAACAAGTG